TCTCTTTCCTGAGGATGTTACGTGAAAAGCTTTTGTCTCGGGGGGGAGGGTCAGCGAAGAGGAAGAAACACTCGTCCCTCCATAGCTCGGAGGGGGCAGGGGATTCGGACTTCCGCTTCTGTTGCATTTCCTCTGCAAAACAGGAAGCCGGGCCGTGCGTCAACACCGAGGCCATCTTGGATCACGGCTTGCCCCCCCTTCTCCAAATTTTGGCTTACCCGCAGAGTGTGGGGGTGCTCGGCATAGTGGAGATCTGAACAAATTTGGGGGCTGTAGAGATCTGAACAAGTGTGGTTGGGAGGAAGGGAAAGTCTTCATGTCGACACTCGCGAGGGTTTGATAGATATCCGTTCGCTTGGTAGGAAAATCACAGTGGTGGGGTTGGCCCGGACTCTTCTCTGCCCCCCAAAACAACCTTGATCCTGTCTTGCGTGTGCTCTCTTTCTTCGCCTCTGTTCCTCTGCTTCCTTCTTGTTTAGCTCAGCATCTAAACCTTCCCTCCCAGGGTCTTTTCCTGCCCTCCCTGCCTATCACTGGATGGCCGTACGTTGCTGCCTAAGATTTCCTTCCTCTGGGCAGCTGGGAGGCCCAAGAGGGTGACCTCGTTTCCCTCTGCTTATGGAGCAGCCACTAGGACCTGGGGAGTGGACAAGCTTTCCCCCTTCCTGTCCTCTTTTTACTTTTCCTTAGGTTAATTTCCTGCAAATGGGTCAGCAGAACATAACTTGGCTTGCTGACTTAATCTGCCTGTCACTGTTTGGCTTGGCAGCTTCAGTTCTTCGTCATTCAGCTTGTAGGGTGGGAATCTAAGGGTTGGCTTGATCAAGGGCTGGGAGAGAGGGGATCACGGTCTGATCTTCGTTGTAACCAAGCCTTTGTTTCATCGTCTACCCTCAGCTATGCTGAAAAGGGCCAGAGAGCCAGTGAGGTGGAAAGAACTTTGGATGGAGAATTTTTGCCATTCAGAGCAGGCAGTACTGGGCTAAGTTGGGCAAATCATTTGCTCATATTTCAAACAATTTCAGGCTCTAAGACACTGTTGTCCAAACTTGGCCACTTTAAGATGAGTGGACTTCAACTCCCAGAATTC